ACATATTATACCTCACCAGTAGCATGACTCGGGGTTTAATGCACAACGCAAATATCATTATTTTTTCTCACCACCTGAAAATTGAACCATGAAAATGAGTCGTCTTACCCCTTGAGGTATAATATATATATATATATATATATATATATATATATATATATATATATATATATATATATATATATGCATATTTCATTGAAAACGACTGACAAAAGGTGCTTTTTATTTAGATTTTTATACAATCTCTCATGCGATCTGATAATTATTTTTCTTTTCGGATGATAAATTATATAAAAACTGTCCGAATGTTCTTTTTATCCGAGCGCTTTCGGCTATACATTTAGCCATTTTCAAGGATTAAATATTTTAACTGTTAAATAAGCAATAGTTTGTTGCATGTATGTTTTATAAAATGTTTTCATTTTTCAAAACACGTTCAAGATATTATGTCCATGTTCATATTCAGGTTATCCGAAATTTTCCTGTAACTTTTACCTTCTTTCCAGAACTTAACAATCAGTTCTTTTTGCGAATTTTTCAATTCTTCACCTCTTGTCATGATGATAACCTTCTTGCACGAATATCAATTACAGAATGTTGTGTTTGTATTTTTTAGGCTATAATTAATGACTGATAACACGTTTTAAAGTTTTAAAATATGAAATTTGCGTTGTAGGAATATTTTTTCACCCATTAAAATGGATAAATGGGATTTATTCCTATTAAATCAATTTTTTTCTGTCTTCTATGCATATTTAGATATTATGCATCTGTTTACAGTTAATTATATGAAAAGTATGGTTATTCATTAGTTTGAAACAATAAATTAAACTTTGTATGTGTACGAATACTTGTTTCCCCACCACTATATATATATATATATATATATATATATATATATATATATAATTATTATTTATAAAAAAAAAATATAACATAAGTATGTTATAAAATCACTACAAAAATAGCCATTTTGTTTCAACACACTCTGTGTCTTATCAACTGATGATGTTGAAAATAAAATAAATGATTTTAAAAGTTTCAGATTAATTAACGATCCTACACTAGGGGGAAACATTGTTACAAAAGCTAGAATAATCAATCAAAAACAAAGTATAGAAAGATTCAAAAGCTTGACAACGAAATCCTGCTATAATAGCTATTCAGATCTTTAAATACGTGTAATATTAAAAATAATTTATACTAACCAATAATTATAAAAAATTATATGATAAAATTTAATCACTATTAAGTTTAAAAACTACAAAATTATTGAGAAAAGAAAAAATATAAATGTTTATTCAATTCATTTCTTCATTGAAATTACGTTCGACAAGACGCTACAATATATCCGGTCATTTGACAATACATGTATTGGAATTCATTCCGTATATACCAACTATATACTTGTATATATATATATATATATATGTATATATATATATATATATATATACACACACGAAGAAAGATCAATAAGTTCGCAACCTGTGATTAGTTTGATTTTAATCAGGAGTTTTCACTGTCTAACGCTAGTTCTATATGATTCATGGGCACAGCTGAATCAAGTGCATGACCAGAAGGGGAGAAATAAATATTTCGACTGTAACATGAAGGTGTGTGTTTTTTTTTCTTTTTCTTACTATTACTCTACGAACACGTTGATGTAATGACAGTTTCAGGGAAGCAATTAAAATCGGAATATTGCACGGTTGTAGTCGCACTTGTCATTCGCTACCTGCTGCTTTCATTATCTATCTATCTATTTCAATCTATCTATCTATCTATCTATCTATCTATCTATCTATCTATCTATCTATCTATCTATCTATCTATTCATTTCAGTCTTTCCATATATCTATCTATCTATCTATCTATCTATCTATTTCAGTCTTTTCATATCTATCTATAATGTGTATCCACATCTATCTCAGTCAGTCCATATCTATCTATCTATCTATCTATCTATCTATCTATCTATCTATCTATGTTTGTCTATATCTACCTACCTAATTTACCTATTTATCTCATTTCTGAGCGGCTGTCTGCAACAGAGACACGTTTACCATCTCGCAGACGGATGTACGCGCGAAAAGACGAATAGCCAACCATGAGGCTTGCATGCTTTGTACCTTATGTGCTTATGTATGTCTGATTATCAAAGCGTATATCTTAGTAGCGTCATATAATTGTGGTTCGGAGCAGCAATCCCTATTTTATACAAATTTCATTGAAGACGGCGACAAGAGAGAGAGAGAGAGAGAGAGAAGGGGGAAGTGAGAGAGAGAAAGGGGGCGACAGAGGGAAAGGGAGAGAGGGGGGAAGGGAGAGACCGCGTGATGTATGTTTTCAGGCATGAAATTGACATTCAAGATACATCGTTGATTCCTAT